ACATAGACTGCTGAGTCCATACACACACAGACTGCTGAGTTCTCACACACACACAGACTGCTGAGTCCATACACACACACACACACACAGACTGTTGATTTCACACACACAGACTGCTGAGTCCATACATACACACAGACTGCTGAATCCATACATACACACACACTGCTGAATCCATACATACACACAGACCGCTGAGTCCATACACACACACATACTGCTGAGTCCATACACCCACAGATTGCTGAGTCCATACACACACACACACAGACACACGGACTGCTGAGTCCACACCCACACCCACAGACTGCTGAGTCCATACACACACAGACTGCTAAGTCCACACACACACACACACACACACAGACTGCTGAGCCAATACACACACACAGACACACAGACTGCTGAGTCCATACACACATAGACTGCTGAGTCCATACACACACAGACTGCTGAGTTCATACACACACACACACACACAGACTGCTGAGTCCATACACACAGACTGCTGAGTCCATACACACACACACACACACACAGACTGCTGAGTTCATACACACAAAGACTGCTGAGTTCATACACACACACACAGACTGCTGAGTCCATACACACAGACTGTTGAGTTCACACACAGACTGCTGAGTCCATACAGACACACAGACTGCTGAGTCCATACAGACACACAGACTGCTGAGTCCATACACACAGAGACTGCTGAGTCCATACACACACATACTGCTGAGCCCATACACACAGCTGAGCCCATACACACAGCTGAGCCCATACACACAGACACACATACTGCTGAGTTCATACACACACAGACTGCTGAGTCCACGCACACACACAGACTGCTGAGTTCATACACACACAGACTGCTGAGTTCATACACACACACACACAGACTGCTGAGTCCATACACACACACTGCTGAGTCCATACACACACAGACTGCTGAGTCCACACACACACACACACACACAGACTGCTGAGTCCATACACACACACACAGACTGCTGAGTTCATACACACAGACTGCTGAATCCATACATACACACAGACACACAGACTGCTGAGTCCATACACACACACCCACAGACTGAGTCCATACACACAGACCGCTGAGTCCATACACACACACACACAGTGGGCTGGAGTCCATTCACACACACACACACACAGACCGCTAAGTCCACACACACACATAGACTGCTGAGTCCACACACACACACACCCACAGATTGCTGGAGTCCATACACACACAGACCAAGCTAAGTCCATACACACACACACACACAGACTGCTGAGTCCATACACACAGACTGCTGAGCCCATACACACACACAGACTGCTGAGCCCATACACACAGAGACACAGACTGCTGAGCCCATACACACACACACAAATCCACAGACTGCTGAGTCCATACACACATAGACTGCTGAGTCCATACACACAGACTGCTGAGTCCATACACACACACCCACAGACTGAGTCCATACACACACAGACTGCTGAGTCCATACACACACACAGTGGGCTGAGTCCATACACACACACACACACACACACACACACACAGACTGGTTGAGTCCACACACACACAGACTGTTAAGTCCATACACACACACACACACACACACACAGACTGCTGAGCCCATACACACACACAGACTGCTGAGCCCATACACACACACACACAAATCCACAGATTGCTGAGTCCATACACACATAGACTGCTGAGTCCATACACACACAGACTGCTGAGTCCATACACACACAGACTGCTGAGTCCATACACACACACACAGTGGGCTGAGTCCATACACACACACATAGACTGCTGAGTCCACACACCCACACACCCACAGACTGCTGAGTCCATACACACACAGACTGCTAAGTCCATACACACACACACACACACACACACACAGACTGCTGAGCCCATACACACACACAGACTGCTGAGACCATACACACACAGACTGCTAAGTCCATACACACACACACACAGACTGCTGAGCCCACACACACATAGACTGCTGAGTCCATACACACAGACAGCTGAGTCCAGACACACACAGACTGGTGAGTCCATACACACACAGACTGCTGAGTCCATACACTGAGCCCATACACACAGACACACAGACTGCTGAGTTCATACACACACACACTGCTGAGTCCATACACACACAGACTGTTGAGTCCAGGCACACACACAGACTGCTACGTCCACGCGCGCACACAGACTGCTAAGTCCACGCACACACACAGACAGATGAGTCCATACACACACAGACTGCTGAGTCCAGACACACACAGACTGCTGAGTCCAGACACACACAGACTGCTAAGTCCACACACACACACACAGACTGCTGAGCAGGGCTGCCATCAGAAATTTTAGGGCCACTGACACAGTTCAGTCCCGAGTCCTCCCACAAGGATGAAGTGTGTGTGTGTATAGTGGATGTAGAATGTGTGTTATGGATGCAGTGTGTATAGTGGATGTAGAATGCGTTTAGTGGATGTGGTATGTGTGTCATGGATGCAGTGTGTATAGTGGATGCAGTATTTGTGTCATGGATGCAGTGTGTATAGTGGATGTAGAATGCGTTTAGTGGATGCGGTATGTGTGTCATGGATGCAGTGTGTATAGTGGATGCAATATGTGTGTCATGGATGCAGTGTGTATAGTGGATGCAGATTGTACATTTTGTGTAATGTATGTAATTTTTGTATGCATGCATTAGATGCAGATTGTGTGTAGTGAATGTAGGTGTGTATAGTGAATGCAGAGTGTGTGTTTTTGTAGTGGATGTAGTGTGTATAGTGAATGTAGTGTGTATAGAGCATGTAGTGTGTTTGTAGTGAATGCAGTGTGTTTAGTAAATGTAGTGTGTCTGTAGTGAGTGCAACGTGTGTATAGTGAATGCAGTGTGTGTGTGTGTGTGTGTGTAGTGCAAAGTGTGTTTAGTGAAGTGTGTGTGTGTAGTGCAGA